TGCCTGCTTTCCCTTTCGCCTCCCTGCATTGTGCCTACATATGCAAATTAACCGCCATCTTTGTTGTCAGTTAACTGCCATCTGAGTTGGCAGTTAATTTGCATATAGCCCTGATTAGCCAATGAAAAGGGTAGCATCGTACGCCAATTACCATTTTTCTCTTTTATTAGTGTATTTAGGATAGTGCTAAAACCCTCACCCCATAAAAAATCATTCCAGTTTCCTCAGGTAGGGTATTCTGCTCCCTCCACTGTGCTCTCATAACACAATTATTTGTACTTTTATTATAGCACTTGAGTTATTGCTTTCTTGTGTCCTTGTCTCTTCTGTTAGACTGTGAGAGTATGTAAGTTAGGATCCATGTCTTCCTTTTATTTATAGTGCCTACAACATGAGATACATAATATTTGTAGGATTAGATTTTTTTCTCTTTTCTCACCTTTTATTATTTTGTTTCTTTCTTATAGATAATCTACTGGGAATCTCTTGGGTTGACAGTACATGGATCCCCATTTTGAACAGTGGAAGTGTCCTAGATTACTTTTCAGAAAGAAGTAATCCTTTTTACGACAGAACGTGTAATAATGAAGTGGTCAAAATGCAGAGACTAACATTAGAACACTTAAAGTAAGTTATTGTAAGAAAGTAGCATCTCGGCCAACGAGAGATTCTGCAGTGAACAGTTCTTTCAGCTGTGGATCGTGGAATACAGAGTAAAAGTTTTGGAAGAACTGGAGTTTTGTTTGGGTTCATAACAAGTTTTGATTGGCAAAGGAATTATTAGTAGTCATTTGTTGCTTAGGAAGTCTTTGCTGTAATAACTGTATGTATTACTGTCTAATTAAACTATAGCTATGAGGTTTAAATGTAGATCTGATGAGCAATGCAGCTGTTATTCTCAACCTAGTAACTATACTTATTGTCCACTCTACATGTAATTTAGTGCCTTTAGTAGGTTTATAGTAGATTTATCTTCGTATGACAAAAAATTTTAGCCAGACTTATACAAAGCAAGATTCTTCAGACTTAGGACGTTAAGAATTTATTACTGTTATAAAAGTTTCTGAAACAACTGTGTAATAAAGTGTGTGTGTGTTTTTTTTTAATCTGTCAGCAAACATTAGGGGGAATTCATGAAATTAAATTTCTGTGGTATTTTAAATAACTTTTGTTATGAAACAAATATTTTTAACTATTAAGACAACTTATTGTTTTAAACATAATCTGTCAGATAAAAAATGCAGTGGGGCAAGAATAAGGTTTTTGATATTTTCTAGTTGGGTAGAATATATAGTTGACATATATAGTCAAGACATGAATAGTCTTCACCATGTATACTTTTATATTTTACATATATTTATAGATCCTCCAGGTCAAGAAGCATCATGGTATTTTGGTTGCCTTTTTAAAAAAATACATATGTTTTTTATTGATTTCAGAGAGGAAGGGAGAGGGAGAGAGAGATAGAAACATCAGTGATGAAAGAGAACCATTGATTATCTGCCTCCTGCACACCCCACACTGGGGATTGAGTTTGCAACCTGGGCATGTGCCCTGACCGGGAATCAAATCATGACCTCCTGGTTCATAGGTCGGCGCTCAACCACTGAGTCACACGGCTGGGCTTGGTTGTCTTTTTTGAAACATGCTTTTCAGTATACTTTCATGATGAAAATTTAAGTTCATCATGAAATTTTATAAATAAATTTTGTTGTTTAAAAACCAAATCTTTACCTGTATTTGATTACCTTGGAAAATAGCCAATTTTATTAAACAGCCAGGTTTTAATATCAAACACAGGAAGTTTTAATTCTACTTACAGTGTTGTTATAATTTTATATAATAATTTGAATGTTCTACAGAATTGTTTATAGGGCATTCATAGATCTCTGGATGTCTGTGTTCTATTTTCATTCAGTCAGATGGTTGGAGTGGAATACATCCTTTTACATGCTCAAGAGCCCATTCTTTTTATCATCCGGAAGCAACAGCGGCAGTCCCCTACCCAAGGTAAAATGTGTAAACTTTAGGCATTATTTTTTTCTTAAAACACCATGATTTATTTACTTTCTGAGCTATCCAGTTGGTTTTGTTTTTTTGGTTTGTTTGTTTTCTTGGGTTCTTTTTTGGGCACCCCCAAGACAACATATATATGTTTAGTGCTTTACCAGGGGGACTCAGCAGACTCAGCATATTGTCAGTCATGTTTAAGTTTTGTTAGGGCAACACAGTAAGAATACCCAGCCAGATCAATAAGGAAAAAAGCCATATTAAGTGGGATCTGTAGGGATCTGTCCAGGTGTAAACTTTCTATACTTTCCTCTCTGTGAGGGGCCACACCAAGTATACCCTCCAGCAGTGAAATGCAGCTCCATGTGTGTATGTCTGCTCAGGAAACTCCATTTGAGACTCTGAGTCCAGATTTTTAATGAGGGCTAATCATGTAGACCTCTTATGCCTGCTAAAATTCCAGAGCCTTAGAAGGAAATCATGTTTCCACTATAATCATATTGTTTGTACAAATTGTCTACGCAGGCTGGTATGGTAGACATAGCTTTATCACTTAGGAATCATTTCAAATGGAGTTCCACTAGTCACATGCTTGGACACCAGGGGTCTCCCAGCATGCCCAGGGGCAGCTCTGCAAGCACTAATAGAGCAACTCCCTATATTGAAACCTTGTCTTCCTGTTGGCACAAGTGTTGGGATTCCAACTGAACCTCGAACATTCCAAGTAACTTTCTTTTCATCTCAGACCACTGAGTCTAATTCTGTTACAAAATACATGGTAAGTGCAGTTGTACCAAATTCTTAAAAGGTCAGTTGAAAACCCTGATTGACACAGTCAACCACAAGTCTTACCTGGTTTATCTAACCACACAAAAACTTGCCTTAGAAATCACACTGAAGAGTATAGAATGCAGATTTGATTTTGAATCATAGCATTAGTCACTTCCAAAGGTGAGCAGCTACATCTCCTAATTTTAAAATCCCTCATCAAGACATTTAGTAACAACCTTGCTATTGATTCCAGAGAATGACTTGTTAAAGAAGTTTTAGAATCAAGAACTTAAATTTAATTTAAAAATCTAGAGTTTTGGTCCAGAGAAAAAGAACCTTAGCCTGGCCCATGTGACTAAGTGGGTTGGGACATCATTCTGTACACTGATAGGTTGTGGGTTCGATTCCTGGTCAGGGCACATACCTAGATGGTGGGTTTGATCCTGGTTGGGACGTGTACAGGAGGCAACCAATTAATGTTTCTTGCTCCCTTCCCCTCTCTAAAATCAATGAAAACATCCTCGGGTGAGGATTTAAAAAAAAAGACAACCTTAGAACAAAGGCAAGACCATGGATAAGAGTTCCATGGTGAGAGGGTTCAAGGTATAGAAGCTATACAAGGTGGCACCAGCCTCGCTAGCAGCTGTTTTATTCCTTAGGACTCAGGACGGGAGCGCAGAGGCAAGCTCAGCACATCTGTTATCTTCACGCCAGGCTGTAAATCTCTCGCTGTAAGGTCTTATTCCGCAAAGTGTGGTTGACTGACAGCAGCATTGGATCACTTGGGAACTTGTTAGAAATGCACTATGCCTACTGATTAAGAATCTGATTTTAACAGGACACTCAGGTCATTCACTGCTCTAGGGCAAGAGTTGACAAAATTTTTTCTGGGAAGGTCCACAGAGTAAATATTTTAGAGTGTGGGGCTCATGGTTTCTGTGACAACTACTCAACTAGCAGCTGTAGATAATAATGTAAATGAATGGGTGTGGCTGTTTTATAATATAACTTTATTTACGAAAACAGGAACTCTTTTAAATATATTTTTTTATTGATTTCAGAGAGGAAGAGAGGGAGAGAGATAGAAATATCAGTGATGAGAGCAAACCACCAATCAGCTGCCTCCTGCATGCCAGGCCCTGCCTTAAGTTTTAATATGAGAAAATGTCAGCTTTTAGTTGTTCTTTTTATGGAAATCTATTTAGTAGTTTGTGTACATGGCTGTATTCATAAATGGTTTTTTCCCTTCTACTGCTTTAGTTATCCCACTGGCTGATTACTATATCATTGCTGGAGTGATCTACCAGGCACCAGACTTGGGATCAGTTATAAACTCTAGAGTGGTAAGTGTCTTCACATTATTTAAACACTAAAAACATTTACTTGAGTGACCTTGCTTTCAAGAATCAAACACAGCTCCTTGTGTAAGTCAGTATAAAGTGTTGGGCATTAAAATGTTTTGAGCATTATTAATGAAAAATTGGGAATTCATTTTCTTTCTACAAGCTTACTGCGGTGCATGGCATTCAGTCAGCTTTTGATGAAGCTATGTCATATTGTCGATACCATCCTTCCAAAGGGTATTGGTGGCACTTCAAAGATCATGAAGAGCAAGGTAGGTAGGACACCTAGACCTTCTGAAACATTTTTTGGTATCTGAGAATGAATGTGTTTTCTTCAGGTAAACAGCTGTTGATGATTTCTAGGTGTGTTTTACTTCCCCTTAGGAAGATTCTTCATAGGATTATGACATTGTCACAGCTACTATTTATATAAATAGATGTGGTAATAATAGCTTTCCCATAGGAACAGATATACATTTCAATGTTAGGTAAATGGTAATCTTTGATAAGTAGATTCAAGTTTTTAAAATATTTGGAGCATGCAGAGAAAATCAATGATGAGGACTGAGTAATGGTGATATTTCTTGTTTACATAACTGTAGAGTCATCTTGAAATCACGAACCTGAATCTCCCAGTCTTAAAACTAGGGGAGATGCTCTTAGAGCCTTATTCCCAGGTGACCAGTCTGTTTTTTTATTTTTCCATGTTATCACCTTTTGTGATGCCAGATTCCCTAGTTTCTGTAGCTGTTAATCTGCTACTCATTCTACACCATATTTTACCTAAGTACTAGAAGTGTGTCTATAGCAGAATATCTATAGTCTGTATTTCCTTCTCTGAGAAATAGCAATTCAGCATAAATTACTAATGGAAAAGTAGCCTTTAAATAGAATTCAGGCTTGTGTCATGAATGGTCTCTCAGATACAGTTTTATTTATTCTTAATAGTAGTTGCAGGTTGCAACATCAGATGTAGGAAAGTTTACATTAGTTAAATAAACTCCTAAGAGCTCTCTGCCCCTACCCTAATGAAATGTTTGGAGTGAAACTTATCTGGAACCCTTCATTTAGAGACAGTCTCCCAATATATATCCCTCCCAAGGGAAATTCTATGTCATTAATTTCAGAATTTCTCTTGTAACTTCTTTCTTGTCTTGAGGACCTTCTGTTTGGTTTGTCCTGGGTTTTTTTTTCAGTGATTTATAGTCTTCATTATTGAGAATGGTAACTTGGGGAATTTTTGAAAGTTGCATTTTTCATTTGCACTTATTAGGATTCATGGGAAAAGACCATTTAATACACTTAAAATATACACAGGATAATTTCAAACAAATAATCTGGATTATGATTTTGGTAATTATGGAAAACTTTAGCTTTAAAATTCTTTTTTCTATCCATGCTTATATACTAAATTTTTTTTTCAATTACAATTTACATTCAATACTATTTTGTATTAGTTTCAGGTGTATGCATAGTGGTTAGACAATCATATACTTGACAAAGTTAAAACTAAATATCTTTAAAAGACATCAGCTTTTTATTTATTTATTTTTAAAATACTTTTATTGATTTTTAGAGAGAGAGGGAGAGGGAGAGAGAGAGAAACATCATGTGAGAGGGAAATATCAATTCATTGATCAGCTGTCTCCTGCACGCCCGTGTCAGGGATTGAGCCCACAACCTGGGCATGTTCCCTGACCGGGAATCGAACCAGTGCACTGGTCAATGCTCCATCCAACTGAGCCACACCAGTCAGGGTGACATCAGCTTTTTAAATGCTAGAATGTTAATAACTTCATTTAAGAGGGAGAGTTAGAATACTTCTGTGTATATGCTCAGTTTAACTCGTTTGGGAGATTATGTTTTAACTAGCAGCCATGAAAAATAATGAAGTCTGAGTATATTCATGGTGGATAAAAATTTGTAAAATATAGAACACCAAACTGGGCAGTATTTTGATTTGGACTTCATATTTTAACAGAAAAAGTTAAACCTAAAACCAAAAGGAAAGAAGAACCAAGCTCTATTTTCCAGAGGCAACGTGTGGATGCTTTACTCCTAGACCTCAGACAAAAATTTCCACCCAAATTTGTGCAGGTAATGAGAACATGTGTGGTAAATTTGATACTGTTTCCTGGCATTTTTATTTTTAAGTTATTTTTATTGATTTTTAGAGAGAGAGAGGAAGTGTGGGGGAGAGAGGAACATCAATTTGCTGTTCCTCTTATTTATGCATTCATTGGCTGCTTCCTGTATGTGCCCTGATCGGGTATCGAACTCCAAACCTTGGCATGTAGGGATGATGCTCTAATCAACTGTGCTTCCTGGTCAGAGCCTGGTATATTTGTTTTTAATTGAGAACTGTTTCAGATGTGACGGGCTACAGTTTCCCTTTTAATAGTGAACTCATCAGAAACCTTATGTTCATAGAAAAATACTTCTTTTCCCTCTGTACTTCCCATACCCGCCATCTTTAAAAGTCAGATGGTTCATCCACACTTCATTCTACTTTTTTCATAGCTCATATCCCCTAAGCAAATAAGTCTCCAAAGCCTTGAAAGGCTCCATTTTCTCTTCCATTAGAGTCTATTTAGCTGATATTTGTAAATCATGTAGCCTGGATGCAGAGACAGAGGGTTTTGTAGGTGTTCAGGGTTATTTATATTTGACTCTTGTTCTAGTTTTAGATTTGTCTCTTTTGAAACAGGCGAAAAAGAAGTAGAAAATGCTAAATTTACTTTTTATGATACATACAGTGGTTCCTCTTCATGTAGTCATCTATAATGTAATTTGAATGAAGGTGTAATTTAATAAGAATTTTGAAGTAAAAAGAAAAACAACTTTGCTAACTTGCCTGTTTTCTTCTACTTCTCCCCACTCTCTCTTTTGTTTTTTCTGTTTGTAATTATAGCAAAAGTCTGGAGAAAAGCCTGTCCCAGGTATGGTTCATCTGATGTTCTTGTTAAACTTGAAATAAGACCAAACAGCCTGTTTAACTCAGTAACAACTTAGCATATGAGATGAGCTACTGTCATTTGGTCCTTCTAGATCAGGGGTGAGGAACCTTTTTTTCTGTCAAGGGTCATTTGGATATTTATAATATCATCTGAGGACCATACAAAATTATCAGCTTAAAAATTAGCCTGCTATATTTGGTCAAACATTTAATTAACTCACCCCTAATGCCTAATGACCAAATGATTTCTTGGGACTTACATAGACAGAGTCTGTACGTTCCTCACCCCTTTTCTAGATTCTCTCATTGTTGCTTGTTACTCCTACCCTTGGGATTTGCTGAACTGCCAAAAGACGGGGGTTTTTTGTTTTTGTTTTTTAAATATATATGTTTATTGATTTCAGAGAGGAAGGGAGAGGGAGAGATAGAAACATCAATGATGAGAGAGAATCATTGATCGGCTGCCTCCACACCCCAGACTGGGGATTGAGCCTGAAATTCGGGCATGTGCCCTGTCCGGGAATGGAGCCGTTACCTTCTGGTTTATAGGTGGACACTCAGCCACTGAGCCAGGCTGGTGAGGCAAGATGATGCTTTTGTGGTAGTGATGTTAGGATTTAAAAGGTGAATCAGAGTGGGAAGAATAGGAATTGAGGAGGTGTGGAAAAGATGAGGTGATTTGAGGTTTGGGGAAAAAGGTCTTCTGGTTCATCATTGAAAAGAGATAATTGACGTATCCATTGAACTGGGATGGAATAATCATGTATACTATCTTATTTAAATGCCATGTGTTTTTGTCTAGTATCACAAATTTGCTTGGGTTATCAGGTTTTTAGACTTTAAATGGATTCTTATACATCTGCCTGATGAAACAGCTAAATTTAGAACTTAAGATAAGCAGTTCTAAAATGAATTGGAAAGAGTTTGAACCGTTCATATTAACTGTTGTCTAAATTGATCTCATCCCTTTATCCTTCTCCCCCTCCAAAAAATAACTCCTTTTGATGGCTAGTGGATCAGACAAAGAAAGAGGCAGAACCTACACCAGAAACTGTGAAGTCTGATGAGAAGGAGACCACAAAGAACATCCAACAGACAGTGAGCACTAAAGGTCCCCCTGAAAAACGAATGAGACTTCAGTGAGTATTGGACAAGAGAAGCTTCTAAGACTTCTTGTCCATTATTATACCTCATACTGTGACAGGCTCTGGAACTTTGAAATTCTTTGTCACAACTCTCGTTTGTATAGAATGTGCTTGCTCTTAATGCTCTTTAAGAAAGGATATAAGGACCCTCATGCTTTTGAGATGGATATTTGTATGTATCTTTTGTAACCTTTCCCCTACGGACTTGAGCAGCCTCCTCACTCACATGTGTACTGCTTACATATGTTTGAAACCAAATTAAAGGATTTGTCTAAATTACTTTATCATGACTTTTCCCTCTTATTTCTCTCTCTGAAATATTTCCAGATGCACTTTGTAAACACAAAGATTAAAGTAGTAAATACAAGTTTAGTTTCTTTTTTAGTTGCATATTTCTCAGTATTAAAATAATTCAGTTACTTAACAATTTGAATGGTAAAGAAATGGGAAAAAACTCACTTGCCTATACCATCACCCTTTAACAGTTTTGTGAGTTTTCTTTGTCTTTTTTTTCTATGAATATTTTAGAAACCAAAACTTGTAATTATTCTGTTCATATAATTTTACTTTATCACATTGTTATGTCTGTTGTAAGCACTTCTCCATGTTTACTTAGTTTTTATAGATTATTTATTTTAATGATTGAATAATTCCTGTGAGTGATTATATATTTTCTTAAACTCTTCTTGTGTTCTACTTAGGTTTTTCCCAATTTGCATTATTTTAAATGAAGCTGTTGTGATTACATTTATCTATAATGACTTTCTGATATTTAGTATTTATTTCCTTAGGATAGAGTCCCAGTGGTAGAATCACCAGACTCTTTACTCCTAGTCCATATTGCCAAGTTATTTTTTCTCAAAAGGTTTGAACCAGTTGTCACTCAGCAAAATATGAAAATACCAACCCCTCCAGAATTTACTACAAAATTTTTTTTTATTATTTTAAGTGGTTGAATAATTGCTCATGTTTAACTTTTGCTTTTATGAAATGTCTGATTTTCTGTATTGTGTAAGATTTTTCTTTTAGCTTTGTATTTTGACATGATTTCAGGTTTACAGAAAAGTGTAAAAATAGTACAAAGGATTCCTACTTATATATGCCTTTTGCCAAAACTCCTCATATGTTAACGTTTTTCCATATTTGTTTTATTCTTCAATCTTTTCCTGTCCTCTCCCCATCTCAGACTCTCGATGACAGTTGCTATTTTCCTCTCTTATGTGTATGTGTATATATAATACACATCGACACACACCTTTTACTTTTGGATTGAGAGTCAATTGCAGACATGATGCCCATTTCCCTTAAGTACTTTTGTGTATATTTCCTAAAATCAAGGATATTCTCTTAACATAGCTATAGTACAGTTATCAAAATTAAACTGATATGATACCATTACCTAATCTGTAGATCTCAGTCATATCTTACCAGAGGTGTCAAGAATGTCATTTACAGCAAAAGAATATCCTGAATTATGCATTGGATTTAGTTGTACTGTCTCTTTAGTCTGTTTTAATCTGAAATAGTTCTTTGTTTTCATGACTTGATATCTAGAGTTTAGGCCAGTTATTTTTTTGAATGTCTCTCAGTTTGCTTTTCTTTGATATATTTTCATGATTAAATTCACCTCTTGTGCTTTTATCGGGAATCACACGGAAAAGGTGCTTGTGGAGACACACGCTATTAATTTGCCTCATTTCTGATGATGTCAGCTTACTTGGTTAAAATTACTGTCTGTCAGTTCATTCTACTCTAAAGTTACTAATTTTTTCTTTTGTAATTTAGAGCTATCTTGTGGGAGAAATAGAGGTTTTGTAAATAGCATGGTATTCCTCAAATTTTTTCCTACAAGTTAGCATCCATTGATAATTCTTGCCTGAATATGATGGTTGCCAAATGGTGAATTTCTAATTCCAGAATTCCTCTATGACTATTAGTTGGCTTTTTGCTATAAAGATGAGAGTTTTTCTTTCTCCCCTTCATACTTATTTATATCATTTTGAACTTATAGATTCTTACTTTATTTGATAAGTTGTATTTCTTTACTATTATTATTTATATTGATGCTCAAATTGTCCCAGATTGGGCCACGAGAGCCTCTCCACCCTGATTCCCGTGTCCTTTAGATATGACCCTCTCATTCATTGAGTATTTCCTTTACATTTTGGCACAGTAGGATATTCCACCTTCTCCCCCACCTTGGCCTGGAATCAGCCGTTTCTAAGGTCCCTGGTTCCTTCTGGTGGAGAATGCATTTGGAAATCAAGATTTTGGGGCTAGGTGTGTTCGTTTGCTATTGTGTTATTGCTTCTAGGCCCTTTCACCTGACACAGTTAAGAACTAAATACTATATACTTACATATGAGTGAATACACATACGTCTCCACACATACAGCTCATTGTACCTGTGTAACTCAACATTGCCAGTACCTTAGAAACCACTTTATGTTCCCTTCTATTTACAATGCTTGTCCTTCTGATTCTGATGCCTAATTTTTTTGGTAATCATTTGTTTTCTTTACATTTTTACTATGTAACAATGTATCCATAAATAAATGTTTTGATTTCCTATTTTTCTTGTCAACCTTTTATTTTAGTTGTATTCACTATAGTAATTTCAAAATATACAAACATATAAACCAAAATGTGAGCATAAAAGAGAATTATTATTTCTATTTCAACTAAGTCTAATGTGTTAAAAAGATTTGCTAAGGGCTAGATGTTTAGAAGAATAGTCAATGAAGAGTGGATAAGGCAATTGTAAAAGATTGAGGAGAAATATCAATCTAGATAGAGTGTGCACCTGGATTGCTTTGCAAATGTTTTTAAGTCCTCACTGCATTTTAAAGAAACTGAAACCGGAAATTTTAAATAACATTTTAAGGGTATAGTT